AAAGTTGGCCCGAAAGAATCTGCAGCACACATTGGTGATCAATTAAACCTGTGATAAAATGTTCTGTATCGGTCATAAAAAGCCAGAAATTCCCCATCTTCAACCTGATCTTCACTCAGAAACATTTCAAAGATGAGAATCTATTATTTCCAGCTTCATTGAGGTCTGCCAATATAGTCAAAGGAGGCCATAATATTAAAAAGAAGTTTCTTTAAACAAAACTGGATCCTCAGTGACATGAAAACAACTCAAGAGGTCTGCTCAGGCTGCTGGAGAGCTAGAGAGGGAGATTTTTAGCTGATAACAGGAAGGTTACTCCTGTTTAAACCTCTCTAAGGAACATATGAGATTTAAATCATAGCAAGAGCCACTGACAGAAGCTACTCCTTTCCCTGTGTCTTTTGTGTACTGATGAACAAGCTGTGCAGGGAACTTAGTTGGAACTTATCAAGCAAAACAGCCTCAAACAGTTACAACAGACAGCAGCAGAGAGCTGAAATAAATCCAACAAGTTGGCTCAGTTTGATTACTTTGAATGGTCTAATTCTGTCTGTCTGAGAACATGCCAGTTTGGGAAATTGTGGAAATCCTTTAGATGTCTTCTACACAAAATATGGCTGGAGTTAAAGAGTTTAGCTATAATCAAAGATCACATTTGGGCCAATGGCTAGGAAAAAAAAAATAAAACTAATCAGCCACAAAACCTCGGATCGGTTCATTTCTAGGGGATACATTCATCCAAATCTGCAACAAACAAACAACTCCCATATATATATATATATATATACACACATATACATACATACATACATACACACATATACATACATACACACACACACACACACACACACACACACACACACACACACACACATACATACATATATATATATATACACACACATATATATAACTAATACTACTTAAAGTCGTAGGAAAGCGCCTGTTCCAAACGTTGCATTTCGGAATTCTACCGAGTGTGCACGACTTTACATGAGTGAATAAAATTAATGTGATTGGTCGTTTATCAAGGGTGCGGGATTGTTGTTGCGGAAGGTTCACAAGCTTTTTGGTTGTGGCCTGTTTATTGGAAGCATCTTGCTAACCAGTTACAACTTAGTGCTAGTATGTTCCAAATGGGAAATTCCATTGGGACCAAGTAGCACTAAATTGGTGACTTAGAAACGACACTGTCAAGGAACGCTATGGACAGAGGAAACATGCAAGAGGAGGAGAGTTTAGTATCAGAGGTCGTGGATGAGTCTCCTCCGTCATACATTTTTTATTTAGAGGAGGAAAGCGGGGATGAAGATTAGGGAT